AGACAACCCTGAATATTACTTATTTATTTTATTTTGACATAAATGTCAAAATAGGCATGTTTTTTTATTTTCAAGAAATTAATACTAATTACACTTATAATAGTTAATATTATACCATAAATATTTTGATTAGGAACACCAGTTAATAATTAATTTCTTACACATAAATACTCACATACTAAGTCATCATCATATTAAAATTTATTAATGAAAAATAGTAATTTTTTGGAACATATCTATAAATTTTTACAAAGTTAGTAATAGAAAATAATAATTTAAAAATGGAAAATACTAATTTTAAAATGGAACATACTTGTTATTTGACTTAGAATTTTTTTTAATATATATGATATACAATTATTGCTCTATGAAATAAGCATGCCCATAAAAATCCGTTTTATTTTATATATTTGTTTCTCTTTTTTCAAAGTTGGAATATCTCTCTAATTAGTATTAATTCAAAGTAAAAAAATATTCATATGTAATTTCTTTTAGTTTTACCAATCTATCGGTTTTTAGAATAAATTTATTTATTTTGATTATTGTTTTTGAATATGAGTTCTTTTTTCAATTTCAAAACATATTATTTAATTTAAATATTTTCCAACAATGAATTAAGATATAAAAGTTTTTAAACGCGATTATGCTGAGAAATTTGTGTGTAACAAATACGAAATTTAATTTCCATTGAATAAGTTTTTTTGTTAACTAATTCCTTAAATATAACTTGATGACATGGCATTCTGACATGTTAAAAAAATTGTCTAATAAACGCGCCACATGTCACAATTCTAGAAGCCGAACTCTCAAATTTTTTATATAAAGATAAAGATTATATTTTTAAAATTGAAAAGGAATTTTTATACAATCTTGTAACAAAAATCACCTTGCTTGGATGGCTAGAAACTCAACCAAATGTCTAGGAGGTTTTAGGTTCAAACCCCCACAAAGGCATGTTTTGGAAAAAATTGCAAGATTAAATACGTGGCAGATGCCTGTTCAAACCCCCACAAAGGCATGTTTTGGAAAAAATCGCAAGATTAAATACGTGACAGATGACTTGTTAAAAAAATGCCAGGTAGACCCGCCACATGTCGAAATTCTGTGCGACGAGTCTCAAATATTATAGTAAAGGATTACTTTTTACTTTGTACATAATATTTTATTTTTCATTTTTTGTAACATTCCCCAAAAAAATATTTTGTTTTCAAAAGTGCATTATGAAAAATTCTAATTTGAGATGAAAAGCGT